GACAAACTTGCGGTCTAAATAATTTGTGTTTCTAATTAATTCTTCTAATTAATTCTTCTAATTAATTCTTTTACTCTCTTATGGTTTGCATATGATAATATAAAAGATAATTTCGCGAAAATATGAAAGATAATTTCAAAACTCCTAATAAACGGAAAAGTTTGTACGATTTGTCAGCTTAATCGTAGTGTTAAGAAAGATAAAACTGAGGATCTTATTATCAAAAGCTGAAAACTTTTGAATTTTAATCGATCGGTAGATGAAGAATTTTGCACATTGGACTTCAGGCAGTCGGGCGGAAATTTAGTTCCTTATCTAAATGAATGTTCTGTCTTTCAAATTCTAATATTTCGAATTAGAAAAGCGCTATTTTGTAAATGTATACAATTTTTCTCTAATTATTACAAAGTTCTTAAAACATTTATAATGTAAAGAGAGAGCTGAATTGTATTTGACTTCGAAACGGTTTAGATTATATTTGCAATCAACGAGATTTTGCACGTGATTTCTCTTGACAAATTACACTAAACTTCTAGCGGTTACTAACTTTAAACTCGCGTTAATCAGCAGATTTCTAGATGTGTGCTTCTGATCGCGTCGTGTTTCAATTAGGCTTCGTTTAAACAAATCGATTTCGTTTACAGTGCAAAATTTAACCCTTCTGTTATTGTATGGGTACTCATATCGAATTTTAAACAGTAAACATTTTTTTATTTCGTGCAAACTTTATGAAAAACCTCGAACAACAAAGAACAGTTTTATACAGTCTTTATCTCATTTTCACTTTCACATTTTTTGCGGGAACCTCGTGGAAACAGAAAAGGTAAAAAATTATGCATTGATAGAAGGATTAAATGGACAAAAGTTTTGCCAACAAGCTGAAAATAGAACACAGATCCTAAAAACAGATTATTAAGTTAAGAAAATTTAATATTTAATTTTTAATTATTTAATTTACAGTTCTAATTATTCATAATTCACTCTTAAAAATGTAATTAATATAAATTAATATCTACTGCAACTTAATTCTTAAAAATAATTTGCTTATCTTTTTTGACGATTAATTAAAGTAATAAATAGAATCGTCTTCTTATAAATAGGAAAGTTTTATAGAAATTGACTTTGGGAGAAATGGTCCCTCGATTTGGAAACGACCGTTGCGAAGATACTATGCTGTGATTTCTTACTTGCGTTTCCTCGTGGACATCTCAAAAATGATCGAAACGCGTATTTCAGAACGCCGGGTGTTGAAATGATTTCCGATCAGCGACAGCGTTGCCGACAGGAAAATTCTTATCGTCTCTGGAAGGTAAGTGAACCCGTCTTGTCGACGGAGACTGTTCATCGATTGTAAATCTAACTGCTATTGCGATACCAAGTGGCCATTTACTAGATTTTGCAATTAGCGCATAAAATTACACTGTCCAACACATTTTAGATCACGAACGGGACAAAGTGATTCTTACAGCTTTTTTATAACTAAAAATGAATCCGTAAATATAATTGTTTTATCACGTCATGTTTTTGAAAAAATTAAATCTAAAAGTGCCGAAAATTGGCACTTTTATACCTTTGAGCTAAAGTATCTCAAAAGCGTGACATAATAGAGCAATTTCATTTACACGGATTCGTTTACAGTGATAAAAAATTTATAAAAGTCATCTATTGTATTGGCTGCTTTCGTTCTTCATCTAATTCCAAGAAAATTAAGTAAAGGCGTTTATCGAGAATTGCTACGACATAAATATATAATAAATTCCTTGGATAAGAATTTTCGTTTTAATAAAGAATTTGTTTTTAACGATGCTCGCAAATTATTCTGTATATTCCTGCAAAGTGTTCCAAATCACGATAGTTCACTTATCTGATATTTTTGTCGCGATAACGTGAGTGATATGACGCGGAAGAGAATCTTCATTAATGCTTAGTCGAGGGACCATTAATTTGATCTTATCTCCGCGCTCGTGTCTTTTATTCTTATTTTTAAGGTGGTCGCATTTAAAAACCTTGAACTCATTAAGGCGTAGAGCACATCTCGGAGAGACTGCTCACAAATTTGTGCATCCTTCTTTTTTAAACATTAAATTATTTTTATTATCAAAGTAATATACAAAACATTGGATTCTGGCTGAAATGGATTGATATAAAAACACATAATTTGTATTTCAAAGAGGATCGCCTTTTCCGCTTAGTTTTATTATTTTTAGTCTTCATGCAACACACGATATATTAGGAAAAGCCGATCGATTCTTGCTGCATATCGCAAGATAAGCATCGATCGTCTTCGGCGTTTTCATACGTTATTACTCTAGGAAGTTAATGACTTCTTCTCGCGTAAAAAAGCGGAGATAGTGGGGACGATGACGATGATGATGGTGACAGTGTAGATTTTCGATCGGCTCGCTTTGGAAATTCGATCACCAACTGTGTGTCACTAGGTCGACACACGAAGATAGAGTACGTATACAGTGCATGCGTCCTGCGCAAGTCATACTGCAAGTCGCGGGGGAAATCTGTGGGACGGTGACGAAAGACGAAGAGAGATTTCGAGGAGCGGAAGAGAGTAGTATCAAGGCGATTCGAGAGAGCGAGAGGAGAGAGAGAGAGAGAGAGGGGGAGAGAGAGAGGGAAGGAGGTAGAGAGAGAGAGGAGTGATACGAGGAATAAACGAGGATAGAACGGGGCAATCGCACGTGAAAAAGGAAATGCAAGCAAGAGGGATGAAGGATCCATGAAAACGAGAGCGTAGGAGAGGGAGAATTTGCGAGAGAGCGAGAGAAAAGGGGGTTGAATTGTGATAGAGAGATAGAGAAGAGACCACGCGTTGACGAGGAATGAAGGGGATGATTTCCGGAGTGAACAAGAGAGAGAAAGAGAGAGATAGAAAGAGAGGGAGAACGCATTCGCGTTGAGGAAGTGAAAGAGGGGCGAAAAAGAGAGAGA